CCCCCCACCCCTCGAGCCAACCTCACAAACACACACTCCCCCGTTAAACATGTGTGTGTATGTGTGTGTGAGTGTCCTCCTCCTTCAGTCTCTCCATGGCTGGATTGTGGCAGCAGCTCAGCTCCCTGTGGCAGGTTCGAGCTCCGGCTCTCCTCCACCTCATCTGTCTTCTCTACCTAACCTCAGATGCTCTTCCCTCGGATACCAAAGCCAGCCCACCCCCTCTGGAGGTAAGACATTGACATGGTCAGGGAAAAATATCATTCATATATTGCTAAATGCATGTTTCAGCTTGTAGTTTAATAGTTTATGCAAGCTTTTTAAGAGTTGTGTTAGCTATTTATTTGCATAAAAGACATACAAACCAACACATACCAAAATCATAGCTGTATTTAACTTTTAGCATATTGGAGTTTGTTGTTGTTATGGACACTACAGCTAAAATACAACTATAACAAGACCACTGGTCTTTGTCACTCAGGCTAAATAATAACTAACATATCAATACATCAAATTGTGAATAAAGCATCAATGGAAAGAACCAGAGGGGCCAATTAAAATAGACACGACACAAAAAGAACAGAAAATATCAGCTCTAAACTTGGAGGAGTGCAGAGGAAGACCAGAAAGGTTGCCCAACTCAAACCAAGTGTTGGACTGGACTGAGCGAGCTGTGGGATTTCCAGCAAGAGAGAGAGGGAGAGAGTTGGAGAGCAGGATGAACGAATAAAAAACGGGAGAAAAAGAGCAGCAATATGATCCAGCAGAATTTATGATTATACTGTTGAAACACATGTCTGTGATGGTGCAGAGAGCATGCACAGAGTGTACGCTGATATACCTGCGTGGGCACATCCAGTGTTTCTACCTGTGGCTTTGTGCGCGTAAAAGTGTGTGAATGTGTGTGTTGGCAGAGGTTTCAGGTAGTGAAGGGGAATTTCTCTCGGATTTTCCTCCATGTTGGCTACCATAAGGTTGCAGAGATTCCTGCAGGAGCACGCAACATCAGCATACAGGAGACGATAAAGAGCCGAAACTACCTGGGTACACACACACACACACACACGCTCACACACACGCTCACACACACACACACACACACACAGCAGAAATACGTTCAGAATGACAAACCCTGGAGTGATTGACGAACACTGGTTTTTTTTCCAGCTCTGCAGACCAAAAGTGGTCTCTCCATCATCAATGGCAACTGGGTGATTGACAGGCCAGGGATCTTTATTGCTGTAGGAACACGGCTGACGTACCAACGACCCAATGAAATCCGCTCTCGCAACGGGGAGTCCATCACTGCACCCGGGCCGTTGATTGAGGACCTGCATGTTTATGTGAGATGCAAACTGCATGGCACACACCATGGGAGCAGCATATTTCCCACAGCTCTTATTCAAATACATTAATACTGTACACAAACAATACTACTACATGTCATCATATACCACATACCCCTCATCTCTCTCCCTCTGTCCCCACAGTTGATCTACCAGCAACCAGGTCCCAATGTATACTATGAATACAGTGTGCCTTTACAAATGGCTCACTCCACTCCTGAACCAGACGCACCTTCTGATATTCAGCCCCTGGGTGAGTGCACACACTAAACACACAAACGCACAAACACACACACTTACAACTTTTTTAGAGTGACCCTAAATGACCACAGTACCATTTTCTCATACTAAATATTGTTGTTTGCCCTCAGGGAACAAACACATCCCAGATGCCTCTGCTTGTGTTTGTATGTACAGTACATTGTGTGTGTGTTCAGCCCACATTTCACCACAGGGCCATGGTTATGCCAATTGTATAATTTTCAGAAAAACTGTCCTTTTAAAAATTTTATTAGAATTTTGATAACATTTGATACGGGCATGCAGCCAAACTTAGTTCTGGCAAAGACCTCTTACCGCACACTGAGACAATAATCAGTCTCTTGGGCCATATTTCATTTCATTGCCTAATATTTAACCTTCATTAAAGAGATTAAAGAAAGCTTGATTTGTGTCTGTTGATATTTCCAGGGATCTTAAAAAAACTATTACTAATGAACTAACTATTCTTAAAGCACATCCAAACAGGTGTTTAGCATTATTGCAGCTGATTAAACCCCTACTCATGTTGAAGGAAGGTGGAGCTTTGCTGGGATTTATTGCTGCATTCCAGGCAATTCGGAACTGGGAAATTTACGACCTCCAACTAGAAAAATTATCATGGTACAATGTCACTTGAGTTCCTACTTGTGAACTCGGAGAAACAATATGTACCCAGACTTCACGAGTACCAGCTGAATGACATCACATGAAAATGGCAGCTCCCATGGAAGCACATTGTAAAGGGTAAACCATAAACTAAAAGGCAACATCAAGTATATTTGCATGTTAACCATGTTTTTTGTTCACTTTCGGCGTCATGCACCACCATGCATTGGGAATGCTTTTAGGTCAGAAGTCAGATATTTCAACTGGAAATTTCCCAGTTCCAAGCAGTCTGGATCAGAGCATTACAGTAGTTCACCAGACCCCATGGCCGTGTCTGAAATCACTCCCAGATATAGTTACTCTATAGTGCACTATATTTACTTGTGTGTTGCGTGTGAGTGTTTGAATGTTGAGCAATGTTTCCACTAACTAGTCCCCTCAGAAATTCCAAAAGTGGAAAAAAATATTTTTGTCCTTGGCATATACACTACTTTTTGATTAAAAAAACATAATGCAATGGGTCACATTTGATGGATGCAAAAATGACTGCCGTGTGGCACTACACCTTTTAGTGGTGACCCCAACGGATGATATTTAGTGTCCAAAATCTCACTTTACTGTTCACTATAGAGTAAACTATTCAGTGTTTATTAATTATAAGGAATAGGGAATAATTAAGGACACAGCTCACTTATTAATAAGAAGGTGTAATTTATCCCACCCAAACAGGTGAAAAAAAGAAAACAAGAAAGTGATGGAGGTGTCAATCAAACACAGTCTGTATACACACACAGACCTAAGGTCCAATATGAGCCACAATTAGTTCAATTCAATTTTCAATTCAATTTTATTTATATAGCGCCAAATCACAACAACAGTTATCTCACAGCGCTTTTCATAAAAGAGCAGGTCTAGACCATACTCTATGATGTTATTTACAGAAGCCCAACAGTTCCCACCAAGAGTAAGCACTAGGTGACAGAGGCAAGGAAAAACTTCCTTTTAAGAGGCAGAAACCTCGAGCAGAACCATGGCTCAGGGTGGGCGGCAATCTGCCTCGACCGGTTGGGGGTGAAGGAGAGAGAGGGAGAGAGAGAGAGAGACGACAAGAGAGAGAGAGAGAGAGAGAGGGAGAGGGCAGGAGAGGAACAGAGAGAAAAAGAGAGGGATGGAAGAAGAGGGAGGGGAGGGAGGCAGCCTACACAATATACACACACAGAGGTACAGACAGTAAAGGTGATGTTGCTATAGACTAAATGAAAAATGTTATAGATATTTAGAGTAGTGTTAATGATAACAATCGTAATGTTAATGATTATAATAACAATAATAATAATAGGACTAGTAACAATAGTTGTTGTAGCAGAGGGTGTCGAGCAGGAACACGGGGGCAGCAGGTGACCCGCAACCACAGATCCAGACTCCACAGCTCCAGAGCCAGAAAACCTGCAGGAAGTGATAGGAGGAGAGAGGAGAGGGACGAGAAAGCACAAGACTACCGGAAAGGGGAGAAGTTGTGTTAGTAACATGCAATAATGGGATGAGGTTGCATACAGAGGGAGAGAAAGTAGAGGAGAGAGGAGCTCAGTGCATCATGGGAAATCCCCCGGCAGTCTAGGCCTATAGCAGCATAACTAAGGGATGGTTCAGGACTCACCTGAGCCAGCCCTAACTATAAGCTTTATCAAAGAGGAAAGTCTTAAGCCTACTCTTAAATGTGGAGATGGTGTCTGCCTCCTGAACCCAAACTGGAACCTGGTTCCACAGGAGAGGAGCTTGATAGCTGAACGTTCTGGCTCCTAGTCTACTTTTGGAGACTCTAGGAACCACAACTAACTCTGCATTCTGGGAGCGCAGTGCTCTGGTGGGGTAGTAAGGTACTATGAGCTCTTTAAGATAAGATGGTGCCTGACCATAGTGAAATCACCTGTGTGAGTGTGCCATAGATGTGCAGGGCCTTTAACAGTATTATGTTTTAGGCTTCATTCCAGCCTTTTACCTTTGTCTATGCAACATTTCAAATGAGTTCACTGCCTTTCTTCCTTGACTTGTCTGTCAAAATCGGGCTCCACCCTGCAACCTTTCACTATCTTGTAGTTCAGACAATAGGCCCATCCCACTCAAGTGAGGAGGTCACAAGCAATGGCATCATCAAAGAGGAACTCCACCCTAACCAGGTTCTCCCCGACCCCAGCTCGAACTCTGACCCTTGGCCCACCTACACCTGGACAAAGAGTGGGCGCAGAGAGTGCAGCACAACCTGTGGCACTGGTGAGAAAACACATGTAATTTGGGGGTGACCACATGTCAAAAGTATGCTTTCCAAATGCTTATTTAGCACATTTGTTTATGTAAAACCTTTGCAGGCACCCTTACTTTAAGTGCAAAAAAGACCTGTGACCATTGGGCTGTGTCAAAGGGCTGGCAAAATGTATATGTATACAGCCATATCTTTTGCTTAGTCGTTTGTGTGTTTTGTTGTGTGTGTGTGTGTGTGTGTGTGTGTGTGTCTGCGTACTTGCCAGGCAGGCGTCAGGTACTCTGGGAGTGTGTTGAGAAAGATTCCCAGGCGACTGTTCCTGCTGACCTCTGTGACCCTGCCCTTGAACCAACAAACCGGGAAGAAAACTGCAACACCCAGTCCTGTCCTCCATAGTGAGCGACCCACACACACACACCTGATGTCCCATACATTAGTCATGACACATATGCAGAATGAGTGACACATACAGTACATGTACATTGTATTAGTACCACATGGTGCTGTGACTCTCAGAGTGAAGCCTTCATCACTCACACACACATTCCAGCTGTGAGTCAGTCACAGTCACTTTGCTGTGGCTTTGGTTTCATGTCTTGCGGTAAATACCTCTAGATCTTACCGTCGCCAAGATGTAGTGGGGCGTTAGTGCATTAGTGCACTGTACGTTTGGTTTGTGTGTCTGCCAGATATTTCGCCCACAGCATCAGTGATCCATGGCAGCTGTCAGTCTGAAATATATGTTTCTATTGGGAACGCAACAGCAGAGAACTGCAAAACTGAAACTTCTGTTGTAATAGAAAGAAGGGAAACAAATTGATTTATTTTGCTTGTTTCTTTTATGATATCCTTTTGGGGGAAACGACAGGCTTTATAATGACCCTGGTCAACTGCGGTCAACTGACCGCACACAATTACTGTGGTCAAAATAAAGACATAGAGCTGGGACGAACTCTGCTTGAGAAAGGTCATTGCTAAACTCATGTCTCAATGTGTAACCACATCTTTAGTGATGGACTGGCAGCTGCTCTTTATTATCCTCTAAGCCTTTCTTTGTCCTCTGTGATTGGCTGACAGCTGGGACGTGGGGGAGTGGTCAGAGTGCAGCAGGAGTTGTGGACCCGGCACTCAGCGACGCCAAGTCATCTGCCGCCAGGTCACTCATGCTCACGCCAACGGGACTGAGACCTCGGTTACTGTGGCACCAGAGTTGTGTGGGACATCTGATAGGCCGGTGACCAAGTCGACATGTCAGCTAAAGATTTGCAGCCAGTGGGAGATACAATCTGAGTGGAGCCCGGTAAGATCACACACACACAAATTGCATATGGTATTACATCTTCATAAGACAAAAAAATGTTGACCTTTCTGGTCCCCCCACCCCTCACTGCCACCTTCTCTCACCCCCAGTGTTCAGTGCCATGTGGGGTGGGCCAGCGCAGCAGGGAGGTGGTGTGTGTGAGCAACCAGGGTGATGAGGAGGAGGATGAGGAGTGCAACATGAACCTGAAGCCGGACACACTACAGAACTGTGACATGGGAGCCTGTGCAAGCAGCTGGTTCAGCTCCCTCTGGAGTCAACGGGTAATACAGAAGTGTGTGTGTGACAGGAGAATGGGACACATTGGGGGGGGGGGGGGTGTTACTAAGAGTGTATGTATGTGTGTGATATTCCTCAGTGCTCTGCAGAGTGTGGTCGAGGCAATCGAACCCGGACGACAGTGTGCCTTATAGATCACGTGACTGATCTCCCACTGGAAAGCTGTGAAGGGGAACGCCCACCAGAAGTGACACTGTGTGACTCTGGCCCCTGCCAGAACCGCCTGGAGTGGTACACCGGACCCTGGGGCCAGGTAATTTACATGCACGCATGCACTAGTCCCCACAATGAAAATATCATCTGTTTGAAGTTTCACCTTATGTGTGTGTGTGGATAAAGTGTTCTGCAGAGTGTGGGAATGGCACACAGACCCGGAGTGTGGCTTGTATTTTCAACAACAACGGTCACATGAAGGTTGTGGACCAGTTAAAATGTTCCAGTCTCTCTCAGCCAATCACAGCTCAGCCCTGCAGACTGAAGCCATGTGGTGTCCAGTGGTATATCACAGAGTGGAGTGCAGTAAGTGTCCCAAAGTCTGTCCATCTACTGTGCAACTATTGACCTCTTTTACAGTATTTGACACATTAAAAAATCTACAAAAAAATCACTTTGTATTTGAGCCATTTAGTTGTAACATACAAGGGTACTAATGGGATCTAGCCACGCCAAATGTTGTGTTTTGTGTGAGCCCGGGTTGTCTCTGGGATCTCTAGTGATGGTAATGATGCCAAAGTTTATTTGTGCTCTTCTTCGTACTCATAAGAGCTACTGTACTGCCATGTCATCCATCCTAATGACAACAAAGCTAACTCCATCTGCTGATGTGAAACAGCTGAAATCTCTGGAAAAGGGGCAATAGCAGACCATGATTACATTTATTCATTTAGCTGACGCTTTTATCCAAAGCGACTTAGAATTGCTATACATGTCAGAGGTCAAAGACCTCTGGAGCAACAAGGGATTAAGTGGCCTGCTCAGGGACACAATGGTGGATGGGCCACAGTGGGGGATAGAACCCGGTTCTCTCACACTAAAGGCATGTGTCTTATCCATTGTGCCATCACCAATATTTTGTCAAATCAAAATATAATAAATCATCTTGATAATCCACAGATCATAATCTTTATAAGGACTATTTCTTCTTTAGCAAGTAGCTTGGGCTCAGAAATGTCCGTGGATTATCAAGAGTAACAAGGACATTGTTTCTGGGAAGACAGTTTGCTGCTGAGACTTATGAAAGTCATGTTTCATTGCTTTGAACACCAGAAATGAGATCCTATTCACATACATTGTGTTGTTTCAGGAGTGGACTATTTGCCACTAGAGATATGGAAGAAAATATGTATTTTTGTAATTTGTGTTCTTTAAAGATGACTGCATGGTTTTGGCACTGGTATTTTAGATGAAGTTAAAAAGCATGGGATGAGTTGTGTCCACATTCAGTCCTCAGATTACATTAGTATATGTTTTCTGTATAACTCTCTGTCACTGCTCTCTCTTTATATACCTTAGTGTTCACGTTCCTGCAGCGGTGGCTACCGTGTGCGTGAGGTGCGTTGTCTTGCTGACAACATTGTCCCAAGTGACCGTTGTGACCCCAGTTTGACCCCCGAGAGCCGAGAAGAATGCAACAAACAACCTTGTTTAGCAGAGATAAGTAAGTCTACTGAGCAGTGGTGCTACCGCAGTGCCATTGCACTCAGTGAGTCCATTACAGATGCAGTTGGGTCAGAATTGAAGCAAAAAATTTCTCTGTGATGCTGTCAGGTGAAAATGTTACCATGGTGAAGATGTTCATCTGGTTGTAAGTAAACAGGGGGGAAAGATCAAGTTTTTTGATGACTCTTGTATGAGGGAAATTCCCTGCCAATGCATATGTTTAAAAAAAAAAACAATCTAAAAAAACATCATTAGGTGACTTATCAATGTGTAAGAAGACATGAGCAAGAACATCTGGATATGTTCAAAACGCTTCTGATCGGTGTGTCAGTTCAGTGGTTGTGGTGTAATTAATGACTTGAAAAATGGGTTGTAAACACAGTCAGATATCGTAGGGGTATAAGGGTTAGGGTTAGTGCAGGCACGTGTGAACTAATATTTAGAAACAAGTCAATGCTCGTAATAGCATTTTAAAAATGTCTAGGATTTGTAAGAGCACAACCTGTTATTAACGTGTATGGAAAATGTTTGTGGGACCTAGTAAATCTGATTGGACTGTCTATTAATTAGGCTTTCATTGGCCAGCATGTTCTGCATTGTTTTGGTTAATGGATGCACCACTATGAAGCCTGGCCATGATAAGCATGCAGGATGGTGATGGAGTCTGTACAATGTATAAGATGGCATATGCCCATTTTACTATCGAGCCCAAACACATGTGCAAAGAGCTCTGACTGTGTGAGATGACACACTGACAAATTCTTCCTATGAAAATCTTTTTGATTCATTGTGGTTACTGAAATCTGCACAAAGATTTTGCAATTTTATGTCTACCTTACTTTTCCTATCATTAAATATAAATTTTCAGTTTTTGAGTATACAAATCAAATGCCATTCACTCAATTTAAGAGGAAAATACCATCATACTCTCAAAACTACTACAGTACTGAATCTTAAGACCTGGAGTTGGACTTGTATACTAAAATTGAAAGTCACTAAAGTCACTGGGTTATGTCATATTGGTGAGAATGAGATAAGTAAAATTCCTGTAATTTACATATTCTTATAACAGACATTATGTCCCACTTCAAATGTACTCATTTGTTTAAAAAAATATATAAATATTTTAAAAGACACAAATAAGGTTGAGTCACTACAACTGGTATCAAGGTTTTATTTTGACAGATGGCAATTTGTATGTTTCACATAATTTGTTATAAATTGATTACTTGGGCTTGATTGTGACTTGAGTTCTGAGGCCATTATTACTGATTCAGTATGACTTTGGGGACTCTGTATTGGGCATTGACGGCTTATGAACTGACTTGGAGCCTCTGAATTAGCACCAGCACTTTCGTCAAGACATGATGTAAGCAACTCTAAGCAGAAGAGTGTAGTGAATAACACTGGATGGAAGAATGAAATTTGCTTTGCTTTGCCCATTGGTTCTCCAGTTTGTTCCTCTTTTCCTTCACAGATCCATCTTGCGGCGACCAGTATCATAACTGTATGGTGGTGGTTCAAGCCAGACTCTGCATTTACCCTTACTATAGAAGTGTCTGCTGTGCTTCCTGCTCCCAGAAAACATACCCCAATGCATTTCAAAAGAACCACATCCGCAGGTGATGCTGCCTCTGGAAGGTTAAACTCACTTCAGGTCACTATCAAATCTGAAAAAACTGCACCATGAAAATGACACCTAGCTTTGTTTGAGGAGTGCCTCAGTAGGAGGGGATATAGAGCATGGTCTTCAACAGATTGACTGACTGGGTACTCCGTTGCTTTCTTGTATTTTATGAACATGCCCACACACAGCATGAAAACTGCCATTAGAGGTTGTGTAGGTTTAGATAGTGTTTTCATCCTCAGTGTAACTTCAAACTGGACTGGTCCCATTTGGTGATGTACTTGTATATTTATTCTAAATAAAGGGTGTGTAACTTCTAGTACTTCTGTTTGTTGTATTATTACAGATGTTACAGACATTATTTAACTGTTTGATGTTTACATGATATTGTTTGATGTCTCAACTCCCCATTATAGGGTATTACTATTTCAGAATGTTGAAATGTAAAACACTATAACACTGACCTTAAATAGCTAATTCGTAATTTACATACCAAATCAACATCTGTGCTCCTTGGCAATATAGGTGGAAATGTACTACTGTGTCAGTTGTTGCTGGCAGGAATTTTATGTATTCAACACACTTTAAAGGATGGGTTCACAATGTTTGTCTTCAAACAATAATCACGTCCCTATACTGAATGTTCTTTGAAACGATGTAAGTGATCCCCATTATGTGTAAAACTATAGCCCAAAATTGATATTTGAGGCTTCAGCAGCCAGAGTTGGTCAAATCAATTTTGAATATTGGATTCTGTATTTTTCTCTCAGACTGCTGAAACCTCATTAACTTCAGAATGTTTTTTAAAAAAAACCCCCACACAAAATGAGGACTCTTACACTGTGAGCATGTTAGGAATGAATCTCAATAGCAAATATAAAGGGGGGGGGGGGGGGGGGGGTGATTAAAGCAAGCAAAACTGGTTTCAATGTTCACATGGCTACCTGAGTATGGTTTTAAAACAGACTTTAAAAAGGTGAACCTATCCTTTCAGTCACACACATCTACAATGCAGACAGAGATTAAGGTACAGAATGCTTGAAAGGCCCCTTATCCTGCCAAGCACATCCCCACATGCAGAAAGTGAACATGATGGCTTTTTTGTTGGGACATGTTAAAGTAAAATGATAATTCCTTTCAGAAACCTTGTGTATCATTTACTTTCAAATGGGATATCATGCAAACCAGCTAGCTCGGCCTCAGTAACTCAAGAACTGATCGTGTCATGATGAGTAGTTTAATTAAAAGAGACACTTTCATGCATTTCATTTGCAAATCACGATTCAAAACAATTTAAAACACTTGGTCTTTTTGGTTGCATCTGGTTACCGTGCAAGGACCATAACAGTGTTTTCTGCATGTAACACTGAACCACTGCAGCCCCTACCCACCCACGTTGTGCCTTTTTCATAATTCTGTGGAAGTGAACTTTTCATATATTGTATTTCATAAATACTTCACTGCATATTTCATTTTTTTAATGGAATGTTGTTGTGAGGTGTAATAATTTTAGAGAATTGTTCATCACACCATAAATTTGTTGTAGCGTGTGTGCCACACAAACTGGGTCATTTTACTGACTAACTGTCCAGAAAGTGTTGGATCAAGCTCTGAGCCAACGAAAATATTAATACAAAGAAGTGTGCTTTGAAATCAAACTGAACAGGTAAATCACTTTTTCATTATCTTTGATGTAGCAACATTTTTGAACTACATATGCTACTGTATATTAAGATGAATTTAGTTGGCCATTAAAAGTAGCCCTTTGCTTTTAAAATTATTTATTCATCAAATTCAGCACATGATACATGGTAGGTTAAACTTTTTGGGCCGGAGCCCATATGCCAACCAGTGTTACCATGCAGGAACACAACCTGGCCCTAGGTTTGCCGTGTGTCACTTAGTTAGCGGTAATTTGATTAAATGCAAAGCTAATTGGGAATGTATAGTAAACCATGTTAGCACAATACCAACTAAAACAAAATAAGATCTTTAAACCAGATTTTACACAATACAGGTTAACACTGAAGGTTTCAATATCAATTAAAAAGATGGCAGTCTGAAATTAAGGAGAGAATTTAATCAACTTGTTCTCTTTTTATGTCTCCATTTCAAGTTCAGCTTTCTGGATGGAGACATCTGCATCATATTCTGACTCCGGCTTTGAAGAATTGCACCAGCTCCCCCAAAAATATGACACCCTGAAAGTTCTGGGAGAGGTCGGCTTTGGAGAAGTGCTCAAATGCCTGGACCTGCAAACAAATCAGATTGTGGCCAAAAAGAGAGCCAAACGCAATGAGAGTTTAAGATATGAGGTAGGACACGGACTTTGATTTTTACAGTTGCCAGGGCTTCTTCTACCAATAACTGGTACAAGTAGGGCTACATAGTCACTAGTTTGCCTGGCGTTTGAGCGTATCCACAACTCAACTAAACATTAAGTTTGTTATGTATCTGCAGACATACATGCTAATGGTACTGATGGATAACAACCTGGAACAGCGGAGCATCATTAAGTTTTTTTGGTGGGTCCTCGAAATATCTTCGAGTTGTTAGACAGCCTAATGGACTACATTCTTGAGAGAAAGGCCCCTATGCGTCTACAAGACATCAGAGCAGTCATCCAGCATGTATTGCATACCTTTATGTTAAATACATGTTATATTATCTTTATCGTTTGAAGCTGACCACAGCATTTAAAGAGCATTGGAATGATCCACACTGATGTGAAAACAGCAAACATCATGCTGTGAGACAACCAGTCAAGGTCAAGCTGATCGACTTTGGCTTGGCTGTGTGCAGATCCAAAGCTAAGTACACCAGGATATACCAGAACCCTTACTTTAGGTGAGGTCTAAAGAAACACTGATCTTTATAATGATATAGCATTTGCAGTTTTCTAGCTCTACCGCAAAATAACTAGCTTTATGCATGTACTGTATTTTCCTGTCCATGATGGTAGGCTATATTCTCTGATAACTTTGTACTAACATTAATACAATTATTTAGTTTGTAATCATATGTTTCACTGTGATTTAATTCTTAAACTATAACAATGTCGCAATTGTCGTTTCATAATTTAGCAAGATGACTTGACAATTGTTGGATTTTTCAATTAATCTAGATGCGTCTGGGGAAAAAAAAAATAACATGGCAGAGGCTGATGAAAGGAAGGAATGTATTGAGCTGTCCCATTTACTCCCATTAAAAAAGAGAACTGTTTCTTTTGCTAGCACTATCTGAACCTGGCCCCGGTGAGGCAGCAGGACCCAGCGCCAGGCAGGTCCACATCAGGAAAGACACCATTACGAGCACTGTGGCCTCACAGCAGAAGTCGGGGCACTCATCTTCTGTGTGGAATATGCATATTCTCCCATGCTAGCATGGGTTTTCTCTGGGTGCTCCAGTTTCCTCCTCGTTAGAACTGATTGGAGACTCTAAATTTCATGATTCCAACAGAACTGAAATTATGATGCACATGTTCATGCTGCACATTTAATCTACACACCACTCAATCCAGTCAAGAAAAGGTACAGGGTCACAGGGGGCTGGAGCCAATCCCAGCTGAAACACCAGGGTCGCCAATCAACTTGGCCACATGTCTTTGGACGGTGAGGGGAAGCCGGAGCACCCGGAGAGAACCCACGCAGACACAGGGAGAACATGCATACTCCACACAGAAAGGCCGGGGAAACCGGGGGACCTTCTTGCTGTGAGGCCACAGCGCTTTCCACCGGACCACCATGTTGCCCTTCTTTAGGTAGATATATTAAGAAGTTATGTTAACTTAATTATTCAGTAAAACCATATGTTATTGCGACTTGGCCACTGACCGATAACATGAAAAATGTAAGACAAGAGTGAAATATTGTTACGTTTCTGCACCACAGTCCATTATAAGCCACATAGGCCTAATAGTATACAAAGGCATTTTACAACATTAATTCTCTGTGATTATGGACCCTTGCCATAGCCGCGAGATAGTAAGACAGACCCTTTCCTGCTTCTGTCCTTCCTGGTACCTTACAAAGTAGTCCCTCACTAGATCTTAAATGATATGTACTTTGCATATGAACAAATTTTAAACAGATATAAGGAGGGAAAGACCTAAAATAGCATTATAAATAAAAATGTACCAATGTAGCATCCTGCACACTAAGTGATGGCCAATTTACCCTACTGTATAAGATGCAGTGATGTGTCTGATAGCCAGCATTCGTGATGAACCCGAGAGCCGCATGATAGAGGGTAAAGCTTTGATAGAGTAGATGGACATGCAAATTGATAGATGATATCACCATAATCATTATTCTGTGTAGTCCTAAAAAAAAGCAAGATTTTAATCTATAAGAATGTCAGAAAATTTAAATTTTGTAGCAAGATTTTCAATACGTTTTTAAAAGTAAAACCTTTGTCCAACCAGATACCCAAGTATTTATAAGTAACAAGTTCAATGGCTTCGTCTTGCAATGTGTTAATAGCAAGAGCTGGGACTTTAGTATTATAGGTGCAAATATCATCGCCTTTGTCTTTTTTGCATTTAAAAGTAGCTTCAACTCAAACAGGGCAGATTGCAATGAGGCAAAGTCTGACTGCAAACTTGCACAGGCAATCTCACATGTAGGGGTATGGGCTGATTTTTGCATCAGGACAGACTTGAATTGCTCAACTTGAATACTTGCATTGAAAAAAAAGTGAATCTGAATTGCTTAATTTGAATTTAAGTAGTATATAAAGGTTGGCAATGCATGCTCCCGCAGAACGTGCACACGCATCACAGGCATGCACATGAAAAAAACCAAAAAAAAAAAACATCCAAGTTTGAAGTCGGCTTTAACCCATCCCTGTCCTTGAGTCCTGAAGTGAATCCTGGTTTGACATGTCACTGGTCCTCTTTGTGAAATGTTAGTAACTTCAGTAACTTAAGATGAGGTGCAGAGCAGCCTGTTACACCAGCTGTGTGTTCAAACTTAGCCTAGTTATTAGCCTAGTGTAACTTACTAATGTGATTTATGCATTACTGAACTAAAAACAGTTGCAGGACAGAGAGAATTTACAATGCAACTCTAACTTACATAAAAACTAATTTAACTACACAGGCCACAGGGTAGGTGTAGAGCTGTCACAGCATTATACTCACTAATGGTAAAACTGCTGTTTCTGACCCTCAGAAGAACATTTCATTAACTGCATGTCATTTAGCTACACTATAGTCCAGTAGAGACCGAATTTATGGATATGATATTTAAATATCGATCTAGCTTACTATGATGTGCTAAGATGCCAAGTGGCTACCTAGCCAGAAAGCTAATGCACACT